CCTCACCAGGGGGAACCTGCCACTGGTGCTGCCACTGCAGGCTATGCTCCTGCCACCAGGCCACCTCCACCCAGCACACCTCCTCTGCCTGGGTCTCTCTGCATACCTCTCCCCCAGCCTCGCAAATATTGTGCAGCACACACGCTGACATGCTGACCCAGGGGTGGTTTTTCTCAGCCATTTCGAGGCAGGTTATGAGGGAGCACCAGCAGCCTTTGAAGTGGCTGAAGGTGCACTCAAGTCTGTGGAGCATGCAAACCAATGCCCTCCGTTCTGTGTTGCATACATTTGTATAAATGGCAAAATGCACATCAGCACTAAGAAAATGGTGGCAGTGTGCTTTGAAACTAAAACACCTTCCATGTGTATTAGTTCAAAAGCGTACCACCCCCATTTTCTCAGCGCTGATGCACATTTTGCTGTTTATACAAATGCATGCGATGCATGCGATGCAGCACCAGGTGCTTTTAAAAATTAAATCCCTCCTGAAATCTCATTACTTTTGTGGTGCCAATAGTTCTAGGTGTTGACAATTTTCACTATCTTTTTCCATTACACTTCCATGCGTATTAAAAGTTGAAGAAGGTCCAAGGATTGCTTAAGCCTACAATGAGTAACTGCATTAAATCTTCTCTCCCCTCTCTCGCCTCTCTTCTGTATGCCAACTGTATTCATGTCACATCTTAAGTTTAGACTGTATGTGCTTTAGGGTAGGGCCTGAGTCTTCTGTGAAAGACCTATGCTAGCAATTATATAAATTATAAAATACCGGTATATTTTAAGATAAATTACTCAAAAGGTAAAGTGCAATCTTGGAAATAACATTTTTTACTTAAAATACATTGCACAGAGCTTTAGATTGTAATTTTCAAAGCCATTCAACAGAAGTTCCTAAAAACCCCACCTTTGCTTCTCCCCTTTGCTACCCTTGGAAGAAAAAAGCAGCTTTTTCTCCCATGCACCCTAGTCTCAGTGCTACTGAACATCTACATTTGAAATTCTCCTTCAGGGTGGTTTGTAGACAGATCCCTCATTCCTAGCACATTCATTCACACCAGCATAACAAGTAAATCCCATCTCTGCTAGTAAAATACAGGCATGTTAGGTGGGCTATGGAAGGACTATTCAATCTCCCTATATATGCTCTGTGTTTACCCAGTAACAAGAGCTGAATCTGAGCTATGGAACATGAGCTTGTACTTTAAGGTTGCCTGGTTCAGCCACTGAATGCCACCTTAATTCTATGGTTCTGCTTTGTATGAAAGTGCAGGTAAAAGCTATAACAATGGATTTTGCTCACTGTGCATTTGTCCCAGGCAGAGCTGCCTCTTTGATATTTTCCTCCATTTTAACTTAGCACACAACAGCTTTCCCCCTCTCTTTTAACTTTTGTGTCATGATAAAGTTTAAGAGAAGTATAAAATATCTGGTGATACAACACTTTAAAAGACAGAGGGATGAACTTAGAAGTGGTCATTTTTGAGTCCCTCCTGTGTGATGTTTGGCAGTGGTTAATAGCCTACTTTGATAACATGACTGCTCTGCAAGAGCTATATTTTCAATTAAGGATACTGTTAAGCACTATTCTGCTTATCTGTGAAAGACATCATGCTTGAGGTGGTTATTTTGACATAAGATATATATTCTTTACTTTTGCATAATTCCATGATCTTAACAAAAACCCATCCTTCAAGAAGTGTCCATTTGACAGCATTAATGGCTAGTTGCATTGTGACCTGTACATCCCCCTCTTTACCCCAGATGTTAGAGCCCAAGACGTTAGCCCTTTCTCAATAATACTGGCCCCTTCTGAGTCTTTACATTATATTATCTCATGTTTGCCATCTTTAAATCTGTCCATGTTTTCCATTTTTTTTCATAGAAATTCCAGCTTTAGTTCCCATGTGTCAGGGTCCACAGAGGCATTAGGCCCAGTGGTTAGAGACAGGGGTGCGATCAGTGTCTGTAGTCATGGGGCAAGCCAAGATCAAACCAGGTTCATGCACAGTTCCAGAGGGGTTACCAAAGCAGATGTCAGAAAAGAAGTCAAAGTCAAACTGGGGTTCCAAAGTTCAAGGACTGGGTACACAGGGACGGATACAGGAGAAGGCACCAGGGAGGTTGCACAGGTGAGAGCTACTCACAGACTGAAGCCAATTTGTTGTACAGCAAGGGCTAGGTGCTGCAAGAGCCCCTTAAAAGCCGCCCTGGAACCAGTTGGTAAGCTCAGGCTCAGCTGGCCCTGGTAGGGGTTGTGTGTTGCTGATCTAGTTGCCTGGCTGCAGTGCAGAGGCCTTGCGTGTCTTGTACTTGCTAACATTTCGGAAGGTTGAGAGAAAGCCACCTTAGCATGTTAAAGCTTCCATTCTGCATCTAGTCAACTCTAGTATGAATTTTCAAATGCTGGCCCATCACCCTGACAGAGTTTTAATACAAAATGTCCAGGAAGCCACTAGTGTTTGTACCATAATACCTTCTTACCTTTTCAGAGATTTGCTAACCCCTGAATAGGACCAGTGGCGTAAATGATGGAAAATTTGAGGCAAAACTGTCTAGAGGAGGCATGATCTTGAAGTGACAGGGTATTATCAGCACTTTCTATGTAATACTAGATTTCTGCCATGGGATTGTGATTGTTGCTAATTGTGGTGGTAAAGTTTATTACTAAGTCCATCAACATATTCAGCGTAAGCCACTCAACAGCAATAATACCACACTTCTTGCAATTTATTCCTGTTACTTCCTATATCCATATCTGAATTGGGACCTTACGACTAAAGGCTTTATGTAGTATTATACATATACCTTTTCTAATCAGTCTTCTCCTTTACTTACTCCCTCTTGAATCTTCTAACTCTGTTTTTCTTTCACCTGGTCAATAAAAGAACACTACCTAAAGTTTATAATTAAGACTGGTAAAAAAATTCCTTCAGGACTGTTTTTAATTATTTTTTAAAATTAAAAGTCTGTACTTTCTTTCAAAATATATAATTTATTCTTTGAAATATTTCAGCCCAAAACAGATTTTGATGTAAAATAATAAAATATTACAGCATGCATCTTACATCTTCACATCCCCATTCTCCTCTCTGGACTGGGTATCTTTGCTGGATTACAGTTCACATGGTGCTTCATGGTGAACAACATCTCCCCAAAGGGGTACACTGGTGCAGTTCAAGGCCATGGACATGAGTTACACTGTGGGCACATCTACATGAGACACTGACTGTGCAGTAGCCAAAAAATACTGCACAGTAGTGCATCACAGCATGGACAGTGCTAATACACTACTGCAAATTATTATTAGGCTACTACGCAGTAGCATCACCTAAAAGATGTTTGCTGGTGTAACTGTGCAGTAACTTTGATTACCGGGCATTTATTTAGTACTTGCTAATACAAGTACATAATAAATGTGCAGTAAGAACTATGCAGTAGTGTCTGATGTAGAAGTGCCCTGTAAGTACTAAATACACCCTTGTACTGCTACAAAAAGCAGTATAAAAATGATTTGAAGCAGTACAAAGACACTGAAAGTTCTACAAAATACTGCTTATTACGTTCAAAGAGAATCTTTTGGGTTTCATAGCACCTCATGTAATGCCTGTACAGTTAGACATAGTGCTACAGGGGCCTCCAGGACCTTCAGCATCCCACAGTTCTTCACTCTCCCTGTCCCTGTCCAAGGGGGAGTGAGGAAGAGTGGCTGGGTCCCTGATAGCCTGCCCAACTATGAGCTTTCAGGGAGCTCTGTTGTGACTCTGGAGGTCTGGCTGCCCTCTGCCCAGTCCCATCAACCAGCTGTCGCAACCACTAATCATACAGGGAAGACCATCAGATAACTGGTAGCCACTGTGAATGCCTTGCAAGCAGCCCCATCAACTCTTGCCAACCTATGGCTGCCTATGGTAACCACTAATTGGACAGGGAAGATACCCAGTTCTTGGTTGCCACCTTGGGGTTAGTGCCAGCTGAAGGCAGTCTCTCTGCCCTGACTGCTCCCTGACCTGCACATCCCCATAGCCCTATATTTTCCCAAGGCACTTTGTAGCACTCAAATAAATTCCTATCCATAACTTGATGGAGGTAGTTCAGTTTGGTATCCTGACCCATAAAGGAAAATGGAAACAGAAGGAGTAAACTACAACCTCAGTTATGCACAACACATCCCATGTTTGGCTGAAAACTTCAGGGGTTTTGGGATAAGCAAAATTGATTGTATGCTGCATGAAGAACACAATGTGCTGTGGACACTAATTTAATGTATATTCTTTCTTGGTTTTGTTTTTCCTTTTTATTCCAGAGAGAAAACAGCAAGTGGATGCATCCTTGTCTAATTGTGATTTTAATTGAGATTTATCTAATTCAGTCTACCAAATCCCAAATTGTTCTGGACTAAATATCACGTGCTGGAGAGATCATCTCTTTTGTAGCTATTTCTTGTGTTTATTTAACTCTGTAGGTACCTGCACTGCTTCCAGGAGTTGTTTGCTTAGTAACAGAGCTAAGAAAAAAAAGTCCTCAGTATTTAAATGCTATAAAATCCACAGTTGTTGACACTTCTAATATATATGTTTCAAACTGAACTGGATACATAGAATGTAAACAAGCACACAAAAGGAACAGAACCTACAAAAAAGATGAGAAAAATGTATTGCTTACAAAAATGTTATATTTGTAACATATTAGCATGAAAAAACATTTTAAATCAAAAGGTATGAGTTTTGATATGGAAATATGACCATATAATAGAAGTAATTCTACTAATTCTAGTTGGACAGGCTATAAAGACCAATACTGGGATTTGCATAGCTGTACTAAATGTTTTACTTTTGCAATCCATGCTTACAGTATAGTTTAATTGTACAGTTGTTTTCTATGTAGATACATGCTGTCTTAACGTATTTTATTTACTTGGAACAATGGCAAATAGTATAACGTCTTTATAAAAAATATGGCTGAACTCTAATTCGGAAACCTTTGGATTAAAGTTTGATGGAATGTACTATGCAGGCATCTGTAAAAATGCCTTAAATGGAATGCCTGACCATACAGACCTAATGTTCCAGGTGAGCTTAGGAATTCAAATGCTGCTACTGGTGAGGAGATGCATGGTAATATTTGATGCACTTGTTAGAAGTTAAAAATGTAAAGACAAGTATATTTGAAACTAGCTTAAATACATTTCATTTTTGTTTACTCAGGCCATGCTCTTGCATGTTGTATATATGTCTAGAATTCAGTTCTATTTCTTCATAATTTACTCATTCTTAATCTCTGCTTTTTTTAAAAAAAAGTTAAATGTACAGGACAGAAAAGCATGTAAATATGTGATTATGCTTATGAAACTGTTAATGTTTATATGTAAAAAAGTTATGTACATACAAAAGAAAAAAATGCTCAATGAAAGTTTTAGAAATTATTTCTTTTACGTAGATGCAGAGATGTTATATTCACATACATGTGCTACATACTTCAAGCACAGATTTTATTTCACTGTCAATTTTAAATCATTTTGGGCCCAATATTACTAACATCCCTTATGCTGAATAGCACTTTCCTCCATTCACAATAACACTAAGGCCAATGTCAAGTCATTATGGAGAAAGGCACTACTCTCCATGAGTAAGGATGACAGCATCAGATCCTGTGATTGTTGCCATCCTTTACACTTGTGGGTCTTGTGCACCTTTTTAAACCTGATCCCAAAAATATAGGATCACAGGATGGGGCATTAGCCTAAATCTAGGTTATTTATAATGAAACTTTTTATTTATGTATTTATTTTCAAACGGACCTTTTTCATACAAACTTAAAATAAAAATGAAAACCTAAAAAACTAAAGCACTGGGCTAGATTGTTATGTGCACTAGGGAGTGTTTACTGCTCACCCTAACAGTCTTGCATGGCAACTCCAAGTAAATAAGAGTTCACCAGCTGTAGTAAAGGTTGAACAATCCAGTCCATCATTTCTAAGCATTGTTTAGAATTTCCCAAGTCTCAACTACTCTTTTCTGATTATTATAAGGATGAGGGCCAGATAAAAAAACCCAGAATATTAAGCTGGTTATTAATATATTATGATAAATAAGTTTTGCCTAAAAGAATTTGAAAAGTACGTGTAAATGCATTAATTCATAATAGTAGAGTTTCTTAAGAGATGTTGAAGTAGGAATAAATGTTCACTGTCTAGACTCTAGATAATACAACATTTTGGGTTTATATGGCACACTAATTATATTAATTGATGACATAGCATGTGCATAGCAACACATTTGTTTTTATTATGTCTAAACTAAAATCCATTTGAATTGCAGCTTACTTTGTCGACACCTGTATGTTGTGTATTTCAGGCATATACCTATTGTACAAGCTGTTGAAGGACTGTGGCTATTATTTAAAGTATTCTCCTCTAGTAATTTCTGTAGCCTTCAGTATATCCTTGAGTGCCTTACACAGCTTGTTAATAAAAACACATGTAGTTAAGAAAATAATATACCAGAGAGTCATTCTTGGTGGATTGGTGTCAAATCACCACCATTAAGACCTTACAATGGGCAGTGTGTTTTAGCACAGTAATGGATTTAGTTTAGACTCAGGAAGTCATGTTGTGAATACATGTATTTATTTATTGTACATTTTATAAAAAGGTCTACTGTAAATTTATGCAAAATATAAATTATATAATATGTTTTCTCTGATGGCAGATATGCCATCAGTTATTTGTGTTCCTTAATGTTATCTTCTAATAACCATATCCTTAATACGTAATGTTTGGTTCAGTGCTGAAGCGGTAATTGACAGGCCTAAAATAGGACTGTATGTTGATCAACTACAAAATTTTACACATATTTTTGTATTGTGATTCATATGATATATATCAAGAGACTTTCTATTCATTTGTAAAATACATAAAGTATTGTAAACTTTTAATAAAAAAGTCTGTTTTAAACCTTCAAAATAGAAAATTGTTTTGTATTTCTTCTGTAGACAGAAGAGAGGTTTTGCTTTTCATATATTTAATTTTAGCAATGCAGTACACTTCTATAAAGTACCAGGAGAATATCTTCTGGATAAATAAGTATTTTCTGTACTTATATTAGGAATAAAGAATAAACGCACAGTCACATGAGAGCGTGGGTACCTTCATCCTATAAGGCACATCCAGATGAATGGGCACATCCAGGGGCATGCATTTGCCACAGCAAAAATAGCAGCAGCACAAATTTTCTGTACCTCCTCACAGCAGCTCTTCCCTGCTCCTGGCTCCTGGCATGCTGGACAACTAGAAGAGAGGAGATGCTCTGGCTGGAAGCCAAAGTGTCTCCCTGGAGGACCCAGCTTCTGTCTGCCCATGCACGATCCTGGAGCATGCACAGCCCCACATTTTTTTCTGCAGCTTTTTTTGACACAAGGATCTCCTGGTGTCAAATTTCGATGCCATGCTGCAAATTACCAGCGCAGTGAACAGGTGAAGTTGCAGCATGCCAAACAGCTTTAAGGCACTGCAGACCTCCTGTGCGCGCTCCTCTGGATGCACTGCAATGGTGCACCTTCCACAGGATCAAACTCTTTTCAAGTCCACTAGCTGCCATGGACGCTGGGTCAGGTCTTAGGCTGTAGGATGACCTAAGTCCATTCAACATTAGAATAGACACCTCCTTTCAGAAACAACAGTCCTCTGTCAGCCAAAGTAAATCAAAAAAGGATTTGTTGTCATAAAGCTGCAATTCGCTGAAGGTTACAATTCAACCTAGAGACCTGGTTGGAGACCAGTACCTCACCTGTGTGTGTGAAATCCTTAAGCAGCTGAACAGTACGGTCCCTCCAGATGTAAATACTACTCCAATTAGAGAAGATCACTCCGAGTAAATTATCAGTGCAGACTCTATTCAAGCAGGTGTAACTATATCCTTCCGTTGGATGGGATAGTAATAACGTGAGACAAGTGGGTTTGGTTTTGTTTGTAAGCGAAAAACAGAGACAATCCGGGGCAAGAATAAATACAGAGGCTGAAAAGTAAGAGCCGAGCGCCTGGAGAAGCCAGGAAGGGGGACTGAGTGGCACACTTCTGAGTGGCTGCGGCCAGGACAGCGTGTTTCAGCAGGGGCAGACGGTCGTTTTTGACTTGAGAGGTTGGCGCGAAACGTTTGGGGCGCCATCAACTCAGGGCCACGGAGACGGCTGCTGCTCCGCGGTTGCAGCCTAGCCAGGGGCTCTGGGCCGGCCTCCGGGACTCGGGAACCGCACACGCGGCGCCCGTCCCGATCCGCACTTCCACGAACCTGCCGCTCAGCCTCCGCAGGCGGCGCGCGGCGACCGCCCCGACGGCTCTGCAGACACGGCCCCCCCGCCATCAGGTGGTTTTCTTGGGGCGGGGGGGTCGCACTCCAGCCGGGGCAGGTTGGAGCCGCCGGGGCGTGGCCGGTGCCTGAGGTAGTCCAGCGGCCGCGGGTGGGACCCAACTTCAGCCTCGTTGCGCGCTCGGGAGCGGTGCGGAGCCGGGCATGGGCGCGGCCCGCTGCTGACCCCGCGCCGCGTTCAGCACCGCCGCCCGCGGACAGCGCCGCGCCGCTCCATGG